ATTTAGGCCACTTATTTTTTCGTCACAGCCCTGAAACGATAATTTTTTTAAACTAAAAATAAAAAATATAGAAATGGTAGCCCACCCAACCCGAGCCTAAATATTACTTTGAAAACACTTCAAATTGCTTTTGTCGACCAGTTAGCCCGCTCCGGGTCGGTGCTTGGCGCAGCTTTCGCGGGCTGGGAGGTGTCGGTTGGACCCCCTGCCGTTCGACCCCTGATTAAGCTAGAGCTCGCGGAAAAAAAACAGGCGTGTTGCCCGTGAGTGACGAGACGAAGCCGATGATACCCGATTTTTAGGTCCTTGGTCATTGGTTGACCTTCCAGGGCGGTGTTTCACGGTCGTGCCGACAGCCGCTGCCAGCGCATTCCGCGAGCTAAGGTCAACCTTCGGTGGTGTTGTGGGTATAGTATAGGCTTGTTGATGTCTCCATTGAAACCAAAAGTGCCATCAGCGCTGGCAGCGGCTGGCAGCGTGCCGTGAAACACCGCCCAGGTCAGGTCACAGACCCAAAAGACGGGAAAATCAGGACCTGTCAGAACCTCCTAAAGTAAGGCTGTAATAGATTTGTTTTGGTGCTGATCACAAATTTCATGATAGTTTGGATCATAGATTATGTCTTCATGCGTTTAGGCCATGTCGGGGCAGGTCAGGTCAGGTCAACCAGTAGGGGTACTTATGGGCGTCCGTATAGCAGGTGTCCACTACCACTGGCAGCTACGTTACATGATACGAAGGCATCAAAACTACTTCGTAAATGTTCAAATGGTTGCAAAATGCTAAATTCAAAATCGGCTAAACGAAACTATCCTAGAAACATGCTAAACTCGGAAAAGTGCACCGAGGTCATCAAAGGTCAATGACCTGACTTGACCGTAAGGTGACATTAGCATCCACCCTAATGCATGGGAGCAACATCATATCCTGTAAAAGCGCGGATAATGTGAGCCGACATACGCCGAATCGCGATTCCGGCCAAACATGGCCTCCAACATGGCCAAACATATGGTGCGTTCGGAGAGGCACATTCCACGTGGAATCCGTTGAATATTCCATGCGCGCGGAATATTCCCGGAGATTGGCCGTTCAGAGAGATACGCCTCCGAACGCGGCACGGGGAATATTCCCGGGGACGGTGAAATATTCCATGCTCTCCGAACGCACGGATAGTCTCGAGACATAGGCCACAAGTCAAAGTTCACTTGGGTCAGGGTCATGAAATTTTCAGACTTTGTCAACATGAGGGTACTAAAGTTTCGTCGCGATCGGCTTCATGATAACTTACACGATAACTTCACACGTCGATCGAGAGTTAAAGTATGCAATAAGAACTTCTTGGGTGAAGACAAGACCAACACTTTTATCAAGCCAAGCTCACAGATTTTTAATGATACGGTATTTTCTCTCTACCTACTACGCTACCTTCTCACATTCATTTTTCTTAAGTGTTTTTGGGGACCAAAATATATGTTGCCCCTCTTCCAGGCTTGGGGGGCATGACCCCGTGGCCCCCCTGGATCCGCTAGGCCGAAACTAACTAGGCCATTTTCAAACGGTCTGATATTTCAGGTCATGGTTTGCAAACGGCCGGTGTTTTCAGGCTGTTTCATATGGTCTGACTGGGCCAGGCCGTTTGCAAACGGACCGAATTTTCATACGGCCTGTAACATATATTCAGATTTCGACATCTGTCGTAGCATCAAATGCTGATGTGGTGCACTCAAAAGCCGGAATTGGTCCTTGGATGCCGTAAGGACCCTTTTAAGAAATAAGTGACCCGACTGACCCCTTAGAGATTGGCCTGAGCTGTGACCGAAATAAGTCTTATACCGTTTCGCATGAAGGGACAAAAAGGTCCCTCATATGCTTCTTGTACAATTACGAAACAAAACAAGTTTTTTCAACGAAAACTCAGTGAGTGTTCCTAAAAAAATTTATTGCGCATATTCCGTGAATGAAAAATTGCCGGGTCATGTCAGGTCAGGCTGCCACAGCAAGTTTGGTAACTTGTCAGCTCAATCGATATTTATGCAATAAGACCTTCTCGGGTGACGATAAGACATGACGACACTTTATGAAGGAAGCTAGTAAACCCGGTAGTTTCTCCATAGGCGCGGGAACCTGGGGGAGGGGGCAGTGGTGGCAGCATGCCCCCCCCCCCAACTCTGGGGCCGTGGGGGCGGTGCCCCCCACAACTTTCAGACGGAATACCGCTCTTTTTTGCAAATGTTTTCTTTTTTTGTTGAAAAAGCCAAGAGATGAAAAATAAGTGGCCTAAAACCGATGAAAAAACTATATTTGGGGGATCCTAGGTTGATCTCTATGGTGTGCCCCCCCCCCTCTAAAAGTAGTTCCCGCGCCCCTGAGTTTCTCTACGCTGTTGAATCACCCTGCTGATCTAGCAAGTATCTACTACGCAACCTTCTCACATTAATTTTTCTTCAAGCGTTTTGGGGGCCAAAAGATATGTTGGCCCCCTCGTTCAGGCTTTTGGGGGGCCATGGCCCCGGTGGCCCCCCTGCAGATCTGAGATCCGCCAGTGTGGGCGGTGCCCCCACAACTTTCAGACGGAATACCGTCCTTTTTGCAACTGTTTTCTTTTTTGTTGAAAAAGCCAAGGGATGAAAAATAAGTGGCCTAAAACCGGTGAGAAAACTAGCTTTGGGGGGACCCTATAGGTTGATCTCTATTATGGTGTGCTCCCCAGTCTGAAAGTAGTTTCCGCGCCCCTGACTTTCTCTAAGCTATTGAATCACGCTGCGGATTCTAGTAGGTATCTACTACGCAACCTTCTCACATTAATTTTTCTTCAAGCGTTTTGGGGGGCCAAAAGATATGTTGGCCCCCTCTTTCAGGCTTTTGGGGGGCCATGGCTCCGGTGGCCCCCCTGGATCTGCCAGTGGGGGTGGTGCCCCCACAACTTTCAGACGGAATACCGTCCTTTTTTGCAACTGTTTTCTTTTTTTTGTTGAAAAAGCCAAGGGATGAAAAATAAGTGGCCTAAAACCGGTGAGAAAACTAGATTTGGGGGACCCTAGCTTGATCTCTATTATGGTGTGCTCCCCCAGTCTGAAAGTAGTTCCCTCGCCCTTGACTTTCTCTACGCTATTGAATCACGCTGCTGATTCTAGTAGGTATCTACTACGCAACCTTCTCACATTAATTTTTCTCCAAGCGTTTTGGGGGGGGCCAAAAGATATGTTGGCCCCCCCCTTACAGGCTTTTGGGGGGGGCCATGGCCCCGGTGGCCCCCCCTGGATCCGCCAGTGACGTAACGCAAAACAAAGACCACCATTGAACTCCCCGTGACGAACTGCATCGAATCAATACCCATTTTATGCAAAAATATCAACTTTGAAATTTGACCTAATTTGACCTGACCTTGACCTGGCTTTGACCTGACCTTCACCAAAACAATCTCAACTGACCCCAAGGGCTGCCTGTCCCACATAATCGCATTTGGCATATAAAATGAACCATAAAACATGCATCACATGATATTTTATATTGTGACCCTCAGTGACCTGACCTCTGTGACCTGACCTAGTATCAGTGACCTCAAATAGCATAATATGTGTTTGACGAACATTTCCCCATCGATGATTTTCAATGAAATGTATTTTACTCGATTTTACAACGCATTTCTTGAAATGCCTGTAAACGGTGAAAATAAGACCTTTGACCTGACCTGTGACGTCATCGGTTAGACCGAGGTCAATGAAATTGGGTCACAAGGTAGTTCCCTGGTAGGGCTATCCAACGCCGTTTGTCGCTTGTCGCTATGTTGCGTGGTTCTCGAGATCTTAGGGGGGGGGGGGGGGGCAAAATGGCTCCCCATCAGACCGCGTTGCTCGGCAGACCCCATCAGGGCGCGGGGTAACCGAGTGATCTGCCAGCAACACCATTTAGTCGGGTAAAGACAGGCGAGCGTTTTTTCAAGCTTACTTTTTTAGCGATTTTATGACTTGTTTTGCTTTTCCGTCGGACAAACTGAGAGAAGAAATACTAAACAGTATAATGCTATGATGTCGGGTTCGGAGAGGACTCGCCTTGTGATTAGCGGTGGCTCACAGGAGCAGAGCTCTAAGCTATTAATTAATTAATCAATTCATTCATTCATTCATTCATTCATGCGTAGGGCTTATTAGTACTTCATTCATTCATTCATTCATTCATTCATTCATTCAATCATTCATTCATTCATTCATTCATTCATTCATTCATTCATTCATTCATTCATTCATTCATTCATTCATTCATTCATTCATTCATTCATTCATTCATTCATTGCCATTCATTTGGTTATTTGAAGCTGCGCTATCCAATCAGTTTTGGTGGCACGAGACATCACCGATCGTTCCGGGCATCACAGCTCAGTCCAGCCATCATTGATCGGTCCAGAACGTCATTGATGGGTAAGGGTTCGATCTCTCGTGGCGCAGATGTCACTGATCGGTCCTGGGCCCAGTGGCGCCGGGCGGCTGATTCAAACCACAGGGGCGACTGATTTAAAAAGTCTATTTTAGCACAGTCCCCAGACGTCACCGCTCCGTCCTGGGCCCAGTGGCGCCCGTCCGACGGCTGATTTAAATAGTCCTTGCAAAGTCCCACTTCCGCGTCATGATAGCGTCTCCTCCGCCGTCTATGCTGCATAATGCAGGTGTCCCAAGGGCGGCGGTGTCCCGTCCCGCTTGGCTGAGTCGCAGGCGCTTCTGCGCCGCGAAAACTCATGGCGGTGGCGTCAGGGGGGCGGGGGAGGGGGGCTGGAAACACCCACTGAGCAAGACTGGTTCTGTGAAACCCGAATATAGGGCACGGTGTGTCTGATTGGTCGGTGACGTCACACGCGAGAATCGCGCCGTAAAACAAGTCTGAGAAAATTATAACAGGCTAAGGTAAAGGGATCCAGGAACAGGATATTGTGAAGAAACAAACGCGTTTTATTTGGTCTTTCTTGAAGACGCATATTAACCAACTGTAACCCAAAACCGAGGAGACGACGGTTAACCCTGTATTACAGTAACATGTTCCTCACATTTTTTTGCCTTTATATTTTTTTAAATCAGATACGTGACACACAACTGGATATAGATAAAACATGTCAATAGATGATGACTGTGGAGCGTGAATTAAGAAACGATATGCAACGCAAACTATACCCCATGGCCATCATTTTCAACACACAAAGCATTGAACATTTATAAATGACTGCTCTAAACTCTTCCAGGCCAGCAGGACTGGACAGTGGTCAGTGGACACGGGACAGAACATGCACTCATTTCACACTCTGTTACCACTTCAGGGCGCGTGGCGACTTCGGAGGTAGATACAGGGCTTTCGACGGCACTGGGTACAGGGTCGTCTCGGCGGTGTAGGACGGTGGTACTTTACCAAAGTCTTCTGGCATATTCTCGGCCAGTTCCGCTCCTGGCAACAAAAGTCCCATGGTTATAAGAGAAGAACGTATGTACAAGCTTTATGGCAAATTTAAAAGTTATCAGTTGATTGTGTTTTTATTCAAATAATGGAAAATGTCATTTTCATCACCATAATCATCAGCATACAACATGTAGAACACTCATTATTTGATAGGCATTCACTCCTCACCGACCGGGCTGTACTTTACGGGGACCCTGACGGCTTTTCGTGTAGAATTTAGCCACGGCCCAGGCCAGCAGGATCAAATACTCGAATAGTTCGGCGACCATGACCAGCGAAATCCCCAGATAGAGCGACATGGCGCCTCCGACACTGCTCACCAGGGAAATGTACTGTGAAAACACAGCCCATCACGTCAGTTGCCGACGGATCGAAATATGTAGTGACAAAAGATGTAATTATTATCGTTAGTTGTAAGTTAATATCAAATGTATTTGCAAATAAACTAATTCCTCTTCGTTTTCTGTAAGTCAAGCTACATGTGCTGCACGATAAGAGTCGAAAGTAAAGAAGAGTCTGCCATCCTCCTCAGCGCGGCGCATTCGGCCGAATGCCTCATCAGGGTGCAGCAGGTTAAAGGGGCCCTCCCACCTTCAAAAAAGTTAATGAATTGGCATTAAAGGGACTATCCCACCTTTAACATGGGGTTTGAGTTGAGATAGCCAAGTTTGCGGCGAGGTTCAGAAACCACTATCTATCTAGGTTGCAACCCCCGCGGCCTCTTGGTGTTGAAGAAATTCGTTCCCTTCATTTGAAAATGGGCCTTGCGCAAGGCCCTATCTTCAACATGGAGCGACCGTTAGTGTGACGTCACCTCGTTTAGTCATTCTGATTTAAATGGGTTTGTTCGTTGAAAAATCGCTTAAAACTTGGTCTGAACTTTGTTGTGGTGCCTACAGAGTAAAAAGAATCAGCTTTATGACAGTAATGTGGCCTGGGGAAGGAGGTAATTTTGGGCTGTGACGTCACATATTTGAAAGTTTGTGTTTGGAATATGGGAAGCCTAAGATGTTTAATGAAAAATAAATGCCAGAACCGTGTTCCTGGTCATCCAATCTATTTTAAAGTGGTGTCCCGTGGTTTAGAAATTTCAAAAATGAATATATACAAAATGTAACCGAAAAATATTCACTGGTTCTCAAGATTATACTTTTACTTTTCTTTACCTCCGCTGTTCCTACGACGTCATTTAGAAGCAATAATTTGGCATCCTAAAAGTGCGGCAGATGTTGCGCGCAAAGCAGTATATGCCACCACTTTTTACCGAGGTTTTAGTATAAGAGTTAAAAATAGTTAAATCTCCGCTGACGTCACAAATTCTTAGGGGCTAACTGCATTAGCCCCTTAGAATCTGAAACTGCAAGTTTGAAATTAAATATCTCCGAATTGAAGCAGTTCTAGCCTCGATGTTGTGAGTGCCCAAACCGATAAGTGCAAGCCAGGTACCCCAACTTTGCTATCTCAACTCAAAACTAATGTTAAGGTGGGATGGTCAGTGGTCACTAAGTTAACCGAGAAATAACCTATCATTTGGGTGTTTGTAGGATCCCGCTGGAGGTTTGCAGGTTTACATAAGGTTTGCAGGCTGCATCAGGTTTACAGGTCTACAGGCCTTGGGTCTACAGGTAGCTCTAGGACCACTAGGACTTTAGTTTACATTGGGTTTTTGTTTAAGGGCGGGTTTACGTTACCGAGTATTTGGGTGTTTGTAGGATGCGCTGCACGTCCAGCGTTTTGTAGAACACCTTTAGTTCGAGGATGTTCTGAGGAAGTCTTTCAGCATCCTCCATCAACAGACTGCTGAAGTTTAGCTTCAGACGTCCAATCAAAGTGCTCTGTGAACAGGAAGAACGTTGAAGGGGTATGCGACTCCTAACGTGGCCAATGTACATTTCGTGAGCAGAAATGCCATCAGAAGACTTTATATCATGCCATTAGGGATCCAGATAGTTTTGGGTGACGCTGCAAGAGGCAGGTATACTCGCCAAAACGAAGTTTCTTGTTAAAAAAAGAAAATACATCGGATGCCAGTGCCACTTCCTTATGCATTGCTGTACAGCTTAGCAAACTTTGAAAATTTCTTAAGCTGTATGCACGGAAAGAAGACGACGGACGTGTTACTCGTTAGTATCTGAGAAGTGCGAAATTATGTGCAGTGCCGCAGAAAAAAAAGCCTGATGAAGAGACCCATCACATCCATACCAGGTACGACTGTCTGGGCCACATGGTCATCGACTGTTGCGCGTTGTAGCCGGTCTCGTAGCACGGCGACGGACAGTGGCACGTCGTGTTCTGGCGCTCGAAGAGCTCCCGCACACACAGCAGGTCGTCACCTGCGGCGGGGTGAAGGAGGTCGCGTAATTACAAAAACACGTACGAGCGGAAATGGAGAGACACAAGAACGGCATGGTGCTGCCGACGTAGTTAGTATGATAATAAAAACAAATAATTGAATTATTGGTAGATAGTTTTTTACGGATAAAATTATAGAAGATGACAAGTGAGCAAATTTGTTCATGCCGAGAGGAAAAATTGCCTGTTGATCGAATAAAAAAAAATGATTAAAAAATATCCTTTTACACATTCAGTTGTAAAAAGTAACACATAACCTTTAAGCTGCTTCTCATTCAGTTCTTTTCACATTTTTAGTTAATTCATTAATGAGCTCCCTTACTCTCGGTGGTGAGGAGACAGGGCGGTGACACCGGCGGCGCGGCGTCGCCCCTCCTCCTGAAGCCCTCCGGCGCCGCCTGCAGCGGATGGAAACAGCCGCAAGTCTTTATCAGGGCGTCCTGCAGACACATGCTCTTGCAGCGCTGAAATACGCCAAAGAATGGTACAGCTTTGTACATACGCTGATGGTAAGAGCTATTCGTAATAGATACGGTCGGGAATCGCTGAATTAATTGGCTTTGACCTCAGTCGTCATATATACTTGTAACGTCTCGATGCATCTACTATACAGCAGGGCAAGTACCGATCTTTCGCTGACATTGAGTGAGGTCGGCTTGGAATGGACACTGATTCAACCTACCGTGACAGAGTACATTTCGTGTACGCTGGAGTCGTTGATTCTGGAATACGGCTCGTAGTCCACCTCCTTCCACCCAAATGCACACCCGGCCTCGAAAGGGAGCGGAAGACGCTGAACGCTCCACTGAAGTGAAAACAAATCACATATTTATCCACTTACAGCGCACTTGATTAGTGCTACTGCATTGGTACAAAGACTGATGACAGCATAACTACATATAATTTATAGGTGGAAATGTTTGCGCAAATATGTGGCATAATTTAGGGCCACTGAATATCGTTTGAGACCGATATCTGACGTCTAGCCATATTGTCATTGTAGCTTGCGGAGGACCAGCATGGCAGACCCTAACAATAAGACCGCAGTGTCCAGCTCAGTGGCTCGCGCGGACTCATCGGTAAAGATCCGACTTCACCTGGTCTATGGCGACAGAGGTGGTAGTCTGGGGGTAGAGGTTGAGACCGCTCTGCTCCACGGCCGGCACCTGATCTGGATTGTGGACCACAATTCTGGCTCCCAGAGACGCCGTTCGCGACGGCGGGTACACGTACTCCTTCATGTTCAGAATCAAACTGAAACCTGCGAAATGGTCAGCCGAAGTTGTGATGATTAAGTGCCAAAATTTATCCAGTTGTCAGAATTACAATCGAGGCACTGATGATCGTAAAGTAGCTGAGCAAGACTAGTCTTGGACTAGCCATGTAGCCCATGGGGGCTGCTACTAACTGAGTGAGACGATAGACTTTAGGTATGTGTTCTTATACAGGCGGCCTTTCATAGGACGTCACTGAATCGTTGGGGTGTGTCTGGACCGCTGCAACTCACTGAACATGTCGCCAGTGAGACTGGTCTCGCGCATCCCGGCGTACAGATCCTCTGACTCGGTGACGTTCGAGTTGAAGGTGTAACAGTTGCCGTACTGAGGCGAGGTCACAGTCCGGAACAAGCTGCAACAGACAAAATCGACACTGTGACAAACACATCAGATATATCCCACTATGTTGAATAAATTTAACGTGGTTGATCGCGTGGTTAACGGCATCCTTTGCATCGTGTAAGCCTTAGCTACGAGGACGGAAAGGACCTCACCGCTGGTCGCCGCAGTCGGAGCCCATGTAGGAGCACTCGATGATGAAATCCTCAAACGACAGCCCGATCTCGCCGCGCACACTCTCCGGAAGTGCCATGTAGTGCGCCAGGAAACGCATGCTCTTGTCGTGGGTCTCACTGGGAGTCTGAGGGTCGGGCAGCGGTGGCCGATCGGGCCTCTCGAGGATGCCAGGCCCAGAAGGGCCCGCGTTCCGCCTTCTCCTCGGTGCCTGTGGATAAGCATGGTCATCTCTGTACACGGGACTTTATTGGAGTTGGGCCCGTGTGGAGTCAAAGATGCGATGGCAAGTGTAGATATCTAAAGCACATAGTGGATTGAATGCCGGACTCCCCTGTGAGAGGATTCTATTCCCCTTGCCGCTCACGTTATATTCGGATCTAGCTGTCACCCAGGCCCCAGCAGCAAAGCTAAGAGTCGTCCCACCGCCCGACCGATGGAGAGAGCTCATCCCACTACTTTCCGTTCCTTAACCCTCGCCGGCACAGGCCATTTTGCGTCCTTCGACGGCACAGGGGGGGGGGGTACGACCCCCCCTCGCGTTTGGCCCCTGATCGAGCTAGAGCTTCGCGGAAAAAATGAGCGTGTTGCCCGTCACGAGACGAAGCCGATGATACCCAATTTTAAGGTCCTAGGTCATCGGGTGACCTTCCAGGTCAGGTCAATGACCCGAAAACCGGGAAAATCGGGACCTGTTAGAAAGTCGTAAATTGTGGCTGTTATGTGGTTTTCCGGGGTGCTGATCACGAATATCGTGTTAGTTTTGATCAGAGATGATGTCTTTAAGCATTTAGACCGGGTCGGGTCAGGTCAGGTCAGGTCAACCGGTAGGGGTTGTGACGGGTATTCGTAATACGTGTCAACCGCCTCTGACAGCTTCGTAACATGTTACGAAGGCACCAAAACTACTTCGTAAATGTTCAAATGGTCGCCAAATTCGAATTCAGCTCCAAAAACTAGCCTAGAAACATGTAAAACTCGAAAAAGTGAACCGAGGTCACCCGAGGTCACCAAAGGTCAATGACCTGACCTGACCTTCAGATGACCTTGACACCCACCCTAATGTATGGGAGCGACATCAAATCACATGTTTGAACGTTTGAAACCACAAAAAGCTTGCAAACGCGCGGCTAATGTTAGCCGACATACGCCGAATCGCGATTCCGGCCAAACATGGTCTCGGAAAAGAGGTCACAGGTCAAAGATCATTGGGGTCAGGGTCATGAAATTTTCAGGGTAGGTGTAAAATTGATCAATGCGAGGGTACTGAAAGTTTCGTCGCGATCGGCCGCTTTTTACGCGATTTATTCGCGAAAAACCTTAGGGGGGGTTGCATCAACCCCCCCCCCCTGTGCCGGCGAGGGTTAAATGGAATGAAACTGAACGTAGAACAACGGAAGGAAAACTAATTCTTACTTGAGAGTCAGTTACTTTGGTCACCTGTGTGTTTTCTCCGTATGAAATGTGATCCACGAGACGTCGCGGCACACGTGACTGTATCGTGGTGTCGTCTTCTTCTGTGACGTTCTCTTGCTCTTCTGTTGGCTGCTCTTCGCCTGTGGTCACCGTGACCTCGTCTGCTTCTGATGTGATGGTAGTGGTCTTAGCCTCCCTCAGCGCAGGCTCTGTCTCAGCGTTCACACTAGGCGACCTCAGTTCATCGCTGTCCATCAGTTGATTACCATGTTCTGTCACAGGCTCAGCACCATCGCTTGGAGGAAAGCTTCTGCCGGATCCGAGGACGGTGTTGTTCTGGAGGCACCTGGAGCTGCAGCCCATCTGTTCGTAGAGATCTTCAAACCGGTCCTTATCGCTCCTATCCAGGCCGTATTTCCGGACACCCGCGCAGCGTCCGCAGAGGAGACAGTGGGGCCGCAGGTCGCCGATCCACTGTTCCGTGGCCAGGCCGGCCAGCGCGTCCCACTGGTACGGGCAGCGCGGACCGCGCCGGCTCAGACAGCCCGACTCGCGGAGGACGGTGCGCAGCAGCGGACGGTGCGCCGGGTCCCGCAGCTCGCGCTGCGCCAGCCGCAGACAGTCCAGCCGGCTCTGGCTGCAGACGGTCACTGCCGGGAACGACAGCGCGCCCTCGTGCACCACGTCCAGCAGGGTGTCGTGCGGGTGGGTCAAGAAGTCGGACACCACTCGCTGAACATCCAGCACCGTCAGCACCAGGCCCACGGCGAACAGCGCCATCCACAGCAGCCGCAGCGGCGGCAGACGCGCCGCGTGCGCCTGCGACAGGCCGCCCACGTTGGTGTCCGCCCAGAACTGACGACTCACGTCCCTCACCGCCTGACGTAGAGTGGCAGGACCGGCCATCGGACTGGGCTCGGCAGTGGCCATGGCTATTCTGAGGACCGGCGGACAAGCGCTAAGGATGGGCGATAATGCTCCGAGGACTGCCAGAAGCACCCATGAGGAGCTCTAGACGCACCCTGGGGACCGGCAGTTAGCGCTCTGAGGATCGTTCGGTCGATGACGATCCTGAAGGCCACGTCCTGTCCTCGCCGGCTGGCGAGGGCTTCTGGCATTACTCCTTTTCCCTGTTGTTTGCGAAGCGTGCTGCTTACGCTCGGACCCGGTCATAACTCACCTTAGACTTATGGCAACGTCTTGATTACAGCCGTGTATAAAGGCGTAATCACCACATCAGAAGGCACGCTGTTTTCAATCACGTGCCCAGGACGAACAGTGTTTGGCGAAATGGTCAATAAAGGGTATTTGGGCCAGCGGTGATTAGTCGGTGACTGTTGTAAAACCTTTTGCTGATTAGGTTCCCTCATGCTGATGTAGGCACGCACAGCGATGCATTTGTCCGCGATGAGCACTATAATATACATATGTAAATATGTAAATATGTAGTACATATGCACTATGTGTAATAATAATGTGCGCATTTCGGACGTCAGCGGACAGACTACGGACAATTCGTGCAAACAAATAAATCGCGAAACAGCCATGAAAGGAGCCCGCTTGGAAGGTTTGACAATACAAGTTGTATTACCTCCAATACGTCCTGTGTAAATCCACAGTGCATTAGGCCATTAGCTGCCATTAAGTTGCGTATTATACGGTCATTTTTCAAGTCCACAAATAACAGCACATTTTTTTGTCTTTTGCATTGTATTATAAAAGAATTGACTGGTATACGTATAGTTCTGGTTTCGTAATTTGATTTTACGCTGATTGTAATCGCATACAAAGTACGCGATTGGGTACGTGATTGGATTTGTACGTTTGCCAACCCTCTAGTTTGATGTCATTTTGAACTCGATTAGGAAGTCCAGAAAAGTCGTTCAAGGTATATAAGGTATACCTACCGTCAAAAGAAGACTTGTTAGACATTCCATATAAAAATGCTTTATATTTACAACATGCAACAATATATATAGATGGCAAGGAATAGTTGGCATCATATGTATTTTGTATTTACAGCACATGGAAGTTAGAAGCACAACAATATACTTAATAAACACCAGTCAACAAAACTCGTATGCTGCTCTTTCTTTACAAATAATAAAAAAAAAATCATCATGATTAAGCTAAGGGGAACATTCGACAACTTAGCGTCAGCAAAACTGCCATCCTTTATAAGTATCACGGCAATATTATCAACTAAAATGAATAATACATTTATATTATCAATAAATCAACACCTTCCGGCAATGCTGTAAAGCTGTCAGCAGTAGTTGGCGTTCTCTGTGTTGGTTATGATCCAGTCGAGGTATTTAGGAATCTTGACAAATACGTCCGGGCTGGGAGTGTGGCACGGTCGAACGGTCCAGATGGCCAGTCCGAGCAGAATTCTACGGAGCGGCTCGTCCTGGTCGGCAACTGTCAGCGGGGAGCCCGAGTCGCCCTATTGGGGAGAGAGGGAAGGGAGAGAGAGAGAGAGGGAGAGAGAGAGAGCGAGAGAGAGAGAGAGAGAGAGAGAGAGAGAGAGAGAGAGAGAGAGAGAGAGAGAGAGAGAGAGAGAGAGAGAGAGAGAGAGAGAGAGAGAGAGAGAGAGAGAGAGAGAGAGTTACAATGTTAAAGATGTTTGAGGCCGTGAGAAAGTGTTGTAATGCTTATCTGGAAGAACCCTCATTACGCACATATTGTACTGCGCCGTAATATGCTTTTCTTCATTCATGGGTACGTTGCTGATCGATATCATCATAAACTTCCCCGCACTTAAATCCCTTCTTAGCCAGGTAATTATTGCAAACGAAAATTTTGGAAACGTTTCAACCACCATCTAAGTGAATCGCACTAAAATTACCTATCCATTGTGCGAATAAGTTAAGCGTTTACGTACTCGTATAGCTACTGAATAGCGAGGCTCGCGCAAGGACAGAGCTCACCCAGCAGGCGCCGGCGGCTGTGTCGATGGCCTCCGCGCACACTGTGCTCGGTGTTACAACGAAGATCTTCCCAGTCGTTTTTATGATGCGATATGAACAGCGGCCGATGCGCATAGTCCTCATTGGCACACTGCGCAGAACGGGTGGACGGCTCTCCTCGCTCGCTGGATTTGCTTTGAACTGTGAGAAGATGATGGTTTGTAATTGTTTCAAAGAGTAGGTAGACTGCAAGTGCATAATGGCGGATCCACGAAAGGCGGTCTTGGACGTTGCGGGGAGAGCCTTCCCAAAATAGTGTCTTAAAATTCATAAAAACTCATTGACTTTTGATTCCTTAAGGGGCCTTGACACTTGCACGATTTTGTGGCACGCATTGGCACGAATCGAATCGTGCCCGTGCGCATACTAGTCGCAAACTGACGTGAAGTGTGCGTTAGCTCGTCGTGACTTCGTGCCATGTCGGGGTGAGAACTTTGAAATGTTCAAAGTTTTGGTCACGACAAAATTTCGTGACCGGATCGTGAACTATGCGCAAACCGTTCGTGAACTCGTCGGGACGGTGCGGGAAGTGCGTAAACTATGCGCAAACTACGCGAAAAGTATTCGTGAACTCGTCGTACCAGCCCTTGCCAATGTGTGGATCTCGGCTTGCTTCGCAGCGCGAAATTTGGGATTGTTTGGTAATTTTCCCGAGTCGATTAGACGCCTAGATGGGAAGTTATGACCGAAAATGTATTTAACGGGTCATTTCAGGTCAAAGAGGTCAAACTAGGTCACACGGGCTCAGGTTAGGTCACGGAGGTCACATTAGGTCACACGGTGTCAGGTTAGGTCAGAGAGGTCACTATGAGGTCGCGATGGGTCACGCCAGGTCACAGAGGTCAGCCACAGTCACGATAGGTCAGTCCAGGTCAAACTGGTCACATTAGGTACGGTCGGGACATTTGCGTCACTGAAGCTCACGATGGGTCAGGCCAGGACACGGAGAAATTGGTAAATGGGAGGTCCCATTTTTAGTTGGCATGCCCAAGTCGGCACAAATTACGCAAACTTGTCGTGCCAATGCGGGAAGTGCGTAAACTATGCGCAAACTATGCGGAAAGTAAGCGTGAACTCGTCGCACCAGTCCGTGTCAATGTGGACACGGATGGGCACGCATTCGTGAATTATTCGTGAAATCGTCGTGAACTGGTCGTGCACCAGTCGTGAACAGTGCGGGAGCCATCCCAGTTCGTGCACGAAAATGGCACAGCTTGCGACGACAAAATCGTGACCGAAAGTCGTGCAAGTGTCAGGGCACCATTACGCACCGATATTCAGTTTTAGACAAAATTGTCCTCATAAAAGTTGTTTAGCTCTCGTTTCATCGTAAAGAAAACGTAAATCTTCGTCAATTACGGGCGCAGTGGAACATTCGCCCCAGATAGGTACCCCTCGCTCCTGGATCCGCCAATGGACTGAGCGTCAGTCCGTTGCGCCTGATGGTAAGAAGAAAAAACTAGGAATATACAAGAACACTGCCGTCTGAGGTATTTCTTACAAATATCATTCCTATATTGGCGAGGTGTTCTTTTAGCGTAATTTTTGCGACGTGTTTCAGTGATTGATGCTGCTCATCTTTCCTAGCTACGTCTTTGCTTCCATGCAATCTGAAATTGATTGTTCTGTTTATTATTCACCTGTTCGCACAGACACCCAAATATGTACTTCGATCTCGTTCCCTTATTACTGGTACATGGTTATCAGTTCACGCAAATGGACCGTACCAGAGCATGTAGGTGTCAGAGCACGTCTTTATTTCTAACTGTAGGTGTACTTTTGAGACTTGACCAATCTGACCTATGTACATTACGGCCTCGGCTAGACTCACCCCATGAAGGCCCCATCCGACCATCTGGGCCTCGTCATTGTAATATTTTCTCCGAAGTTGTGGCATGCAGATCGGTGCTATGAAATTATCTCCCACCGGCAGGTCCAGCGGCGTCTCCAGCTCCAATAGCGCTATGTCGTTGTGCAAGATATTCGCATAAAATTCCGGATGGAGAATTATCTGTAACGGAATAGTTCGGGATACGAAAAGGGCCGCAGAATTGGCTGACATCGAGATACGCACCTCGCCAGACTTCTTGTCAGTTTCCAAGAAAACTAATGTGTTTCCGCCGGTGCTCCAAACATTTCAGGGCACCAATGTCATCCATTTCCCGTTTGCACACGTCAGCTCACCCTCAAGACGTTGAGACGCAGCTCCGTCTCGGAGGAGCGGAAGGTCTCGCGCTTGCCGAGGATGACCTGACCCCACTGCGGAGACGGCCACCAGTTTACGCAGTGAGTCGCCGTTAGGATGTACCGATCGTTGATCAGAGCTCCTCCGCAGAAAGGTGTTCCGCCCCAGTGCTCTCCTGAGGCGTCCACCAGCGCTGCCTGCCGACAGTCAGATCATACCGATCTAAAGTAAACTTGACATACCGTCTATCAGCGTCGGATTTTTAGACGCAGGCTTAAGGCATGCCTCGGTAATGATGTCCAGAAAATGTTTAAAAAAGTTTCCATTGCTGTGGCATGTGCAGCTACAACCCATCGCCGCTCTCCCACCCACCTACCATCCACGGATAGTGATCATGCCCCTCGATCGTGCCGTTGACGGTGCCGGTGCCGTTGGACCGGTGGTCGACGATGCCGCAGCACGTGCTGTTCGGAGCCGTTCCGGGGATCCGGCGCCACTGGTAGGTGAGCTCCACCAGATCGGGCTTCTCTGAGGTTGTCGAAGTTGTCTGTGAAGCTCGTGCTGGTGCTGTGATGCCCCGGGGCGGCATCTGCCGGATATGTTGGCGGCATTTATGGAAGGTTTTGGTGATAGTGAACAATACGAAGGCAGCTTATTCGGGGCAGAGAGCAAAGCGAAGACCACATCGCGAGTCGTGATGTATCGCTAGATCAAGGATTCCGTATTGGTATCGCCTGTATCACCTGTCTATTCCTGATCCTGGGGTCTCCTGTCGCCCGACTGATCAAGTCCTGCCACCTATCAGGACACTCCTATCCCTGTCTGGAGCTTTATATCGTGTCTTCCGAGTCTTTTATCTTCCGTCGAGTCCTGTATCACTTTTCTGGCCTCCTGTATCGCCTTTCCAATGGCTCACCGTGTCCGTGTTAGGCGTTACTGGAAGGACGGTGCCGCTGACGCCTCCCGGACCCACGGCGCCGGAGGAAGACGGCTGGCAGCTCAGCAGGGGCTGGCAGTGCAGCAGTAGCAGGAACAGCAGTGGCAGACAGGCCCAGCCAGGGAGAGCCTCCATTGCGCGACTCCACTGCGGCCACAACACAAAGTGCAAGATCAGTGGGTTCAAACGAACGATGCCAATGCCATGCGTCCCCAATGTATGTAAGTTAAGCTTTATTTCCACGTCTTAATAAATGCTGTGTGCTCCACGTCTTATGAAGTGCTGTACACTGAAAGTTCAAGTTACGATATTAGCATTATTTTAGGAGGTATCAAGGAAAGAAGATCAACCCCTTTTGAGGAGTAGGGTGGCTCAAGAACAAATCGGAGCTTTTATCATATATCGAGATAACAGTAAACCCGATTTTATTCTCAGCCGTTTTATCTAACAGAGAAATCCCGATGTCAGGAGCGTTCAATAAAATTTGAAACATAACTAATCCTATGTAGGAACTTACCTGCCTTACTGAGCAGCAATCGACGATTGACGGCGACTTACAGGGAACGCCAACAGACACTTCCTTGAGAAATTATGCATAAAATAACGATGCTTAATTAAGTAGTTGGGGCGTGACTGAAAGACGTCACCAAACTGAACTCAGTCAGAACCGTGCACTCAGACGAGAAATCAACACTCGACTGAACGGGCGATATCTGAGCTGTCTGCGACCTTCATGATCAAGGCCTTGTGTAGTTAATTTGCAGCGCATGGTAACGTCAATTCATTCAGATATCTCGTCACTTGACCTATGCTGATAAAAGTTTGGTCTGTTGATACTCATGGTCGTCAATGGTCTTAGTCTAGAGTAACGATGCGATCACTGTGAGTTTTTTGAATTAGACAAACTAATTCATAAATAAGTGAAGATAAAAGCACCATAACCACCCAACGTTTCGTATTACATAGGTATTTACTTTCTCAGATCTCAAAGTTGATACGGCATATTCTTACACACAGAGTTTGGAGCCTTGTAAGTACAGAGTCGTCGGTACATTTTCGTCGTTCTAATACAGCGCGACACTTTTTCACCGTTTCCTCTATCTTGCATGATGTAGGTATATGAATATGTACATTTTCAAGTTACAAAATACAAATTAATGTCTTTCCTAAGAAACAAAACGGACATCGAAAGTAGCATGATAAAACCATCCGAAGTATTTGCTAATTTTGTGATGAACGCCGCTTCTGTAATCCTTCGTCGAGTTTTTAAGTTCTGATGCACATGACTTGAGTTGAGTTTTTGAGCCCGCGACCAGCCAAGCAGACGCCCTTCTTTTTCAGCGTGGATAACAAAAAAAGATTTAGAAAATCTGAGATTGCGTAAATCCCGCCTGCTATGTTCGCAAACTCAAGTTTTGAGACCCCTGCTAGTTTCCCCGTAGTACACGCGCGGGCCCTTCAACACGGAATCTTGTAAACTACGCTGTTGCTGTCCGGAGGCCATCCTGCATACTTACGTTTTAAACATGCTGATCCATGAAGATCTCTGAAAATCTGAACAAATTAAGTAGTCTGCACTAGCTCAGAAATCTACATTGTATAAACAATGTCAACTAAAAACACGAATTTCACGTAAGATTACTTTCGCGAATTAATCCGTGAAGATTGTCATATACATTGAGCAACTATCTGACCCACAAATAGTTATTAATAATGTCGAAAGGGTTAGACCAAGTATGAAATTCATAACACGACAATCTTACCAGCGATTTTGAAATATTTATATTGCACAACAACTTACACAGTGAGTGAACCCAAGCACATTTGGACGTTGGCCTTATCTTTAGACACTCTGGCTCTGGCAACACGTGGCTCTGTGTATATATATAGAGCGACTGTATCTGCTTTACCAGCGCAGCGATTCATTAGTGGTGCGGCAGTGACACGGAGGCACGTGCAGCAGATGCCCGGCAGTCCGGTTGCAGCCGGCGGCGGTCACTGGCTGTGCTCCTGCAGGACAGTCAGTGGGCCACCGACATCTACAGCGAGACGGTGACACCGGGCCGGCGGCCGTACTCGAGCGACAAACTTCATCCAGCTCTTCTGACATGTGGGTTGGTGCACAGAGTTGGAGCTGGTGTTGGTGTTCGGTAGTGTTGCTCTTCTGCGCGCCGCCGCTGGAGGCGCTGCCGCTGGTGCACCCTAGCGCCGCCACCCCGCAGTGGCTGGATCTCAGCCACCCCCTGGACAACACCAGCCACCACTGGCCCGGCTTCCTCGGCTTCAACCTCACGCTGATGATCAACGGCTCTGTGACCCCGGACGTCTGGGCTGCCCTGCACAACTTCGCCTCCTCAGAGCACACGGGCACACACATGGACGCGCCGATCCACGTGGGGCGCGACGGCACGTGGAGTGTGGACCAGATTCCCGCCGACCGACTGGTGGGACACGCGGCGATGATAGACATCGCTGACCGCTGCCAGGCCGATCCCGACTCCATCCTCACCACAGAAGACCTGGCCGAATGGAGAAAACAGCACGGCCAGTTTGTGTACCCGACCATCCTGCTCGTGCGTACTGGACAGGCGGCACACCGCGACAACATCAACAGATACCTAGGCCTGCCTGAAGGATACCAGTTCCATGAGCAGGGGTTCTCTTTCGACCCCCACGAGCTGCCGCCGCTGCGTTTTCCGGGCATTGGTAAGGCGGCGGCCGATGAGCTGGCCGCTGATGACGCCGTGGTGGGTGTTGGAGTCGACTGTCTGTCCCTGGACCAGAGTGCCAACCTCCGTCTGGAGGCGCACCACGCGCTCTTCGCGCGCAACAAGTTCGGACTGGAGAACGTCGCCGACCTGAGTCGTGTGCCAGCCACCGGGGCCACCGTCATGGCTCTGCCGATGAAGATACGTGGTGGTACAGGAGGACCAGCCAGAATTCTGGTCCGCCTTCCAGAGGAAGGTAGCCAGAGCTAGGACACGGCACCCCCACGGCAATCTACTGACTGACATCGACGAGAAAAACCATGGTGTCCGAGCTGAGCGAATGAAGCAAATGACGAGCCCCCTGAACCGTTGACCTGACACAGCCGATGTGATTGCTCGGAGCAGTTGTGCCGACATGGAATAAAGTTTTGACCTCATGTGGACTGTGAACTGATGGTTTGGAATAATTACGAGCGAGCGAGCGAAGCGAAGTCTTTTGAACATAACGCGGACAAATCTCAGCATGAGCGGCCCGGCCCGGCCCGACCCAGCCTGTAACGGGTTTTGAGAGGCTTATACCACAGCAACCGCTGGGCCGATTGGCCTACGGTCTTTTTTTGTCGGGTAGTCCCATCCCTTCTACCCTGTACCTAGTTGACTACTCCAGATGCAACTAGGTGACTGTATATTGTATAACTATCTTGACTTTTGGCCTATACTAAGACATTACAAAAAGTTATTTCAGAAAAGTGGCTAGGTACCGTAAACGGGGGTGACTTTGCCATGTCTTCAACTTTAGACGCTTGTATGTTTTAAACTTGTTAACTTATTGGGATGACTCTATGTTTAAAACACGGATGACGATTAGCTCTTTGGGTTTTGTTATTATCGTATTTATATCTTGACTAAAAATATAAATTTTTAAGGAAAATGAGTCGTGGCAAAGTTAAACTGAAAAGGGGTGACTTTGCCACTATGCCAAATAATGGTTTTTTAAAGGTAGTGTGCCACCTTTGAAAGATTTCCCATTTTATTTTTCCTAGGATAAGAAGCTTCTGTTTTTACCTAATATCGCAAAAAAATCAAAAATGGGCCTGGAATAGTGCCTTTTTCGCCTAAAAGTTTATCGGTTTTTCGATATGTATAACAATTGTAGTGGGCTGACCTGTAAACAGGCGTCGGCAACAATCGCGAATGCGGCGCACATGTGACAATAAGCAAAGGTCATTATAGAGTTACGACGTACGGGAATGAGTTATCAGCTGTCTAATCGTAGACAACACAATGTCGAGCCTTAAACTGTAAGCCTGTATTGGTATTGTTTCTTTTATTTGGCTGTCGAACATTATTTATGGTTTGAAATATGATTTAATGTAAATAATTGATATGAAAAAGCCGTCTCTTAAGTTATGACCCCATTTCACCACACGCAAGTGGCAGAAATGACAATGATCAGCTGACGCATTTTTCTTGGCCGAAGTCAGAGCGCGCGGCCCGACGACACACCACCACCGCACCACAAAGTATTGAGCAGAAGCCGCGCCCAAAGCCGGGGCCCCGGTAACGTGAGGTAGCCGAGTCGGGGCAGCGTGCGCTGACCCAAGCCGGGGCCGCAGCTTTGGGCGCGGTGTACCGCATCCCCGCGAGCAGCCCCGGGCTATCACATGACACCGGGAGGACGCGCGGCCCCGGCTTGGGTCAGCGCACGCTGCCCCGACTCGGCTACCTCACGTTACCGGGGCCCTGGCTTTGGGCGCGGTCTACCGCACCACCTAACAGGCGTGTTCGAAACCGCAGGAGATGATGATGAACGGGTTTATCGAAACTTGATTGGATGAGCATATCGGTAATAGCGATTTCAGTGTGTGCATTTATTGTTCATAGTGGTGTGAAATGTGGTTGGGGTACGACCGACAACCCGTCGGGGCGAATTTCGCACTGGGGTACTCAAAATTTGAAGAATTTAAAACGTTTCCATGAGTTTTGAAGGTATGGATAAGTTCTAAAAATCCGGTTCTCCTTATCTGGGCCATTAACTCCATACGGTCCAGGAAAGCTGGCACACTACCTTTAACGCTAACAAATACGTTCCAAGCATTTTTGTTCCATTGTATGGGGAAGGGCAACCATCTTTTATTGTTTTATAGGAAAAAAAGCAATTCGAGGTTTTTTGCTCTTAAACGATGTACAAAAAAGGAGAGATGCCTTACTTTTTATAATACATTATATCAAGGCCTCGTCTAACATATTAACTGGGGGGGGGCACCCCCGCAGTCATCGACCTGGCCCCCCCAGTCAGGGCAAAAAGTCCCTACTGGGGGGCCGGCAATAGTCAAAAGGCAAACGAATTTTTATTTCGCGGCGTCTGTGCACATAAAAACAAATGCGTAAACGAAACGATGCAATGTGACCACATTGAAATACCCCATTACATAGGCCTATTATGTGTTTATTTTGTTTACCTGAACCTTTTTTCGCTCAGCAATACGTTACATTTCGTCTTTTCAGGCGACCAACTCCGTGTCCCGGGTATTCTTTTTTCATTAATTTTGTCCGAACCTTTTGAATGGAAGGATTCACAAGTACAGAGCCCCCGCCAAGCAGAGCTTTGCGTTGGCCCTGCCCTCTACCCTCCGATCGCGCAATTCGTGATCTATGACAGAATTTAGAGCCCAAAGTTTAACGTATGCACATAGCCGCGCACGGCCGGTCCCCTCACTGACTTCGAATGGCTACGGCCTGCCACCAACCGTAACCATACTCGCCAGGAGGCTCATAAAGATCGTGCGATGTCGCGCTTCGAACCTGGACTGTTATAACCGGGACGCGTGCCCTCACCACGCGGAGTCCAAGGCTCTACCGGCAAAAATTTCTCCTTTAGGTATCAATCTGTTGTTTCTGTCCTCGCCCCTCGGGGCGTCAATCTCTTCTTTTTGCCTATCGTCGTCCTCGCTAGCGGCGTCCAACTTCTGGCTGGACGGTCACCGGTGTGCGGCTAGAGTAGCTCCATAATCGTAATGAAGCAGGCTCCCGTTCTGAGTGGTCAAACGTAGGCGCAGATGCCAGATTGGTGGTCTGTCTGTGGGGACGGGAACTCTGACAGCTGGATTATCTTAAGAAGTCGGCATGGAGTCCTGGAGGGCAAATGCCAGCCACTTCGTGTCCCAACTTCCAACTGGCCTCAAAGCACTACTACCTTCATTTTTGTTTAGTTATAGCCTCTGACGAGTGACGACCTTAAGGTTGTGTCGAAGATCCACGGCGATTACGGAGAATCCACCTGAGAAGACATCAGTCTCCATGTTGATACACAGGCATTACACTGGTCTGAGGGGGCCCTAGTGGGAAAATACGGTCTCCACTCAGATTGACCCTTAAAGCCTGGTATGGATCATATAAAACCAGTGTGGGCTACCATAGAGGCCGACGTAGGTCCAGAAGCTGACATTAGCCCTCAGAGATCGGCATCGAGCGCTCAGAGGGACCCATCAGAAACCGATGTGGTTCTAAAAAAAAATGCGTATGCGGCCCTCGACATAAGGCTCGGCATGCAAATTCCTTAGACACGGCTGACGGCACTGCCACTCAAACACACGCTCAACAACGAGAAGCTGTGAAAATTATTGTCTGACGAGGCAATGTGAGGAGGCTATAAACTAATATACAAGCATGGGTCGGATGGCCTACTATTTTCTTTTAGTTTTCAAAAAAAAAAATATTCATGGTGTCAGGGCTGTGATGAAAATAAGTGGTCTAAATCCGGTGAGAAAACAGGATTTGGGGGTACCCTAGGTTTGGCTCCTTCAGTCTTTGCCCCCCCCCCCCCCCCCCAGTGAAAATTCCTTAGACGAGGCCCTGCATTATATTTGTTGAGAATAATTGACATTTGATAGTAAATAGATACTGAAAATGGTTCAGAATCGATAAATAAGCAAATATACTATTGTATCGGTACTCTAGGACCTTGCCGCTTTTTTCCAGCGGCATAAAGAGGAACAGAAAGAGGACGTTCTTGCGGGAACTGTCCGACACAATTGTTATCAGCGTTTTGATCTATAAAAAGATACAGATTTCTTTAGCCAGTCTTACTGACAAACTCAGGAGTTGTAGATGCTCATGGCTGTGCACTGAAAAGTTGGGTCCAGCTTCATCCATTTTTTTTACTTTGGTATTTTTTGCCTTTCTATACTCCCACTGTGCATTCCTGTGCTAACTTTCAACATATAAACTTGTACTTTCTAAAACCAGTTTGGACATCAGAATGATGCTATATTGAAAACTTATTTTGAATTGCATCGGATAAGTATTTCATTTTTGCATTGATAACATGGTGGCAAAGTCACCCCATGTGGCTTGCAATTCACTTGGAAGAATCGCCACAAAAAAAATTAGCTAAATGAAGTGACAAATGCCAGTTTTGTTGGATATGCTAACTTAACAGCCTTGTCATGATCAACCATACAAGTTTCAGCATCGCGGTTGGTCTAGAACATGGTTAGATAATACAAAGTTCGGACCTCTTCAAATTTGACCATTTCAATGACTCCAATAAATGGAGCCCAGTTAGGTATTTAGTGGTAACTTATCTCTCAGTGTTGGTTATTTTGGATGGCCCATCAATTATCTTTCATTTGTGCATTAAAAATTATTACATTCTTCGTAAAATATCACTAGAGATCACCCTAAAGCATTTTTTGAGAAGCATGTCAAAGTCACCCAGCAAGGCAGTCACCCCCGTTTACGGTACCTATTTTTTATCGTTGGGGCATTCCACGATAGATCGTACACCAGGCCCGTCACCCTTACCTCTCAGATTCTAATGGAAATTGCTACTAGGGGTAATCATAGGCTCCAAAAACACCTGCCAAAATATCAGACTTTTCAGATGAAAACTTTTTGAGCCACATTGCATAATATTTTCTAAACTTCAGATTGTAGGGGTGAGTTTGAAGAGCTATCACTCAAAAACGAGCTAAGCAAGCAACAAACTGTAAACAGCTTTGAGCTAACGATGAATCAAAAATTAATACAGCTTTTTTAAGATTGGAAAGAAAGGCTTTACATATTGGAAAAAGTCGTAATATTTTTTTTAATTGTCTAAAACGGCCCTTGGGACCAAAATTTTTGCCATTTTTATTCCTTCAAAATAAATTTCAGGTCATTTGAAATCGACATGCAAAAAAAAAAAATTAGAAAGGTGTTTTATAAGTTCCTCATTTTAATGCATACAAAATGGGTTTTCCGGGGGGTCGGTACGACCTCAGCTCACC